CCCAGTGTTTTCGTTTTAAGTTTCCCTCAAGCCTCTTAACAAAAAAAATTTTAAGTAAAAGATGACTCTTACCGCCAGCCAGTCCAGCTGGTGACGAGAACAGGGAGGCGGACCGGGGGGTTTTAAATGGATCCCTTACCCTCCAGATGCGCGCTGTAGTCCGTTCCCATTCCCCGTCATCAGCCTTTCCAACTGGAGTTCCAAGCCATCCCACTTCTGACACCAAATTGAGGGGGAAATCTCGCTCCCCTGGGGTACAGAGCCCCCAGAAGGGTTCGAGGCCGGATGTCAAATCAGTGAGGCAGGAAAGAAACTTAGAAGAGAAAACTTTATGATGCATGCATGCAGGCTGTCACTTCCAAGAGTGAAGCAGCAGCCCTGACAGACAGATTCAGGTATCCTATATACAGAATGCTTAGACAGTTCAGTTGTGGATTGTTATTCTTTAACATATCAAAGTCTCAGCAGAAGTACTTTGAGACTTCTGTTCACCCCAGGAGTGCTAGAAGTAAGTTTTTACAGTACACAAAGCCACATGAGAACTTGAGTGGAGGAGTCTACAAGGCAAACTGTGACAAAGATAAGGGTTTACATGACAAATTGTGACAGACTAGGAGTATCCATGAATTTGAGATAGTCATTTGTAAGGGTCTTTGATTAGAGCTAATTTGATTTCTCTCTGTTACAGGGAGAGAGGCCTGGAAAACTTTTTAACCCTTACAGCAGTTTTCTTTTAGAAAGTTATGATTTCTGCACAGTCCCCCCTTAGACACAATTGGAGTTATTTGATTTGCCCCACAACAGCACCTGTGTAAATACATCCCAGGATAATATTAGCCTTCTTCACAATTGCGCCACATTGTGACCCACTATTACTGCCACACATTTACTACTTAACCTCCCATCTGTAGCCAGTATTAGTGCCTAGCCACCGCTGATGCATTAGGACAGATGGACCCCCCTCCAAGTCTAGAGTAAAGGGAAAATACTGCTTTTCTGACTCCTACAGGTAAAAAGGGATCACTAGTTTTACTTTTGTTTATCCTGAGGTGATAATTATTTATCTTCTGGTTTTCACACACTAGTGCAATAATACAATGTTTGGATTAAAAGAATTCCATGGGAATGTTTGCTAATCCTGTTAACACTGGAAAACATTTGAATTATGGAAACATCTTCACGAATTGAAAGCTTCTATAAAAATGTATATAAAAAATTCTAGATTTGAAGCTATATTATCTTTCAATTAGATAAAAATTAACTTAAAAAGAAAATGTCTGGCAATTAAACTGCTATTATTTTTAAAACAAATTTAAAGCAACTGAATAAATTATATTTGTACAGGTTGGACCTCTCTTGTCCAACACCCTCAGGACCTGATGGGTACCGAATGAGGGGATTTGCTGGACCAGGTAAGGTCCCTTCCAACATGGCTTGTGCTAAACTCCTGGCCCCTATTAGGGCTCTGCAGCGGCTGCTGCCAGGACCCACTATCTCCCGGCCAGAAGCGGCAGAACTCTCTGCTGCACCGCCCACCCCTCCATGTCCTCTCCCCCAACATGGGAATCCCAGATGAGTTGTCGCCCCTCCTCCCCTGCCACTCTCCTGCCTCACAGCCTCACCTCCCTCTACCTGGGCTCTGTAGTCCAGGAGCAATCCAGGTCTTGCTGGACCACACATGTTGCTGGACCAGAAAGTCTCAGTTCAGGGAGGTACAAGCTGTACAAACCAAAATACCTTAGGTAAATAATAAATCTTAACTCATCAACATCTTTTTACATGTTTATATGAGGCATTATGAATGATAAGAAATACGTTACAGATTAAGTACTTACCTGTCGTGGATTTTGTTGACCAAATTTAACCTGATGAGTCACAGCCTTGATAAATTTCTGTTGTTTTGCTCCTTTCTTATTCTTTAGACCAAAGGTTTTGTCCTGAATTAGAAGAAATTAGTATAAGCGATGCTTCAGCTATTGGACAGTTTTATGAACGATGAGAGGCAGCAAGGGGGACAAGGAGGGACAGGAGTTGTCTTAAAAGCTGGTTCCCCCCAGCACTGTCTCTGTGGTGTCGCCTGCCCTCTCCCCCCCAGCCCCCCCAAGCCTAGACCTCTCCTCCTGGTCTCCGGGAGGTTGGGCTGGGCTGAAACCATGGTGCGGCCAGGCCTAGCACTCTCCCGACCGGCCGCTGGGGGGTTGGGTTAAGCTGAAACCACAGCATAGCCACGCCTCGCACAGCCCCCCACCCCACAGCCATGGGGAGCGGGGAGAAGCACTGCATGGCTTGTGGCTTCCGCTCTGCCCCAACCACTGGGGAGGGGAAGGGCCACATGGTTCCCAATGCAGAGCGGCTTTCACTGCTTCCCCCCTTGCCAGGCCCCACACTCTGCCCTGAGCACAAGGGAATGGGGAGGAGGGAGGAAAGGGGAGATGGGAGGGAGGAGTCAGGTGGTATGAAGAGTGACGTGATGATGTCACTATTATCCCACAGGAAAAACATGATATAGATATATAGATAGATAGATAGATAGATAATCTTCAATTGTTTTGAATATGTACCCAAAATTTTGGAGGGACATCAAAATATCTGTATCATCCCTTCTTGTCTTGCATTCTTTGTAAAGTTATCCTTTCCAATGCTGGAATTCCTCTCCCCAGCCATCCTCACAATTTGACCAATGTATGATACCATAAAAGTAGTATTTCACAAAGTATCATAGTGTATCAGAACCTATTTAAGAACAGCATCTGCTTTCTCTGTATTCAATCCAGAAAGTTGATGAGTGTCATCCATTCCATGGCAAAAAGTATCTGTTCATACCCCTCTGCAATAATTTTCTCCTTATATTTCCAGTTTGTTTATAGAATGCAGATCTGTATCAGTTCCATTCAGTTCCTTTTACACACCTATCTGCAGCAATGTATTTTTCTATGACGGCAATAATTATATTTAAAACCTTTCAAATCTTTGCCTTTGATGTAATTCTACTCATTTAAAGAAGAATATTTTATTGCTAGTCAGTGGAAGAAAAAAAAAAAAAAAAAGTCACCCAACGATAACGTCTTGGTTAACACAATTCGGGAAATGCTATAGCAAAAACCACCCATCACAAATAACACAAGACAAGTACATTACATATTGTTTACTTTTTATTAAAGTCAGTAAAAAATAGTTCCTACTCATTCTCACAAAGCTTAACATTAACTATTAATAAATAATAATAATAATAATAGTAATGACTTAAATTTTCAGCGTACATTTCTAATAACTTATTCCTTTGCAATACATGTATACTTTTAAAAAGAACAAATATAAGATCTTGTTTACCCTACAGAGTTAAGTCAATGTAAACCAGCCTGTTTTAACCTAACTATGTAAGCATCTACACTGACATGTCATTTTCCCTGATGTAAGTTGCCCATGACATCAACTTAGGCCATATCAACACTAGCACTTATGTCGGCAAAACGTTTGTTGATTGGAGTGTAAAAAAAAAAAAAAAAAAACCCCTATGCCTCTGAGCATTATGTACACAGTACTATGTCAGCAGGAGATTCTCTTCTGCCAACATAGTCCACACCACTCATTCAGTTGGTTTTATTATATGAATTGGCAGAAGACAACTACACAAACATGATTGTGCCGCTGTAAGCTTTTAAGTGTAGACACCATGTTACTTACATCATGCTGGCTTTCAGTGCCCCACAATGCCCCAGAAGAAAGTCAGCAGAAGTGCTCCTCTTGAGGGTGCACAAGGCTGACAGAAGGAACATAACGCAGATGTGAAACTAATTACTTGAGTGGATAATTTTGCAATGTAGATGTGCTCTCAGGAAAAAAAAGATGACTGATTCACAGGTGACATTACTGCCTCATGTTATATAATTAATGTCCCTTAAATACTCCATTACTTTACATGGACTTTCATGTTTGTGATCTTATTTTAAACGTCACTGTTTTTTCAACTATAAAATAAAAGAGTTTTTGTGGACTAGATCTCTCTTATAACTGAGCTCAACAGAACATTATTAATTCAGCAAGATAGTCAGCTAGGTCCCAAATCTTCCTACCTGACCCTTCAGTTTACTTGGATACTTAATTCTCTATTTATGCTCTTTCCTCACTCCCCCAAAAACAGTTCTATTCTCCACATTCCAGAAGATATTCACTTACAAGGAATCCCAGTGACGAATAAGGCTGTATAATGTGACACTTTGTTATTACATTATACACACTGAAATTTCTTAACTTCCAAGAATAGTTTTATGAATTACAAATACTGTTAAATGACCAGAGGGAAGAAAAGGTTACTAGTTAATGATAATCTTTAATTTTTCAGCCTAGATTTGCAAAATAAATATTTACTCATTGGCTGTCACATCAATTGACATTATACCCTGACACAAGAGACCATGGGCCAAGTTTTGCCCTGAGATTACAGTGATTTGATTTGGAATTGCAGATGTACGCCTGAAAGAGTTGAGCCCTGTAACCTTTCTAAGGCCTGTGCTTGAATGTGTCTGTTCAAAAGATCTGAACAGCCCATCTTCAGGGTAAAAATAACCGATTCTGGTCTATCCAATGAAGAGAGCAGTACAAGGCCATAGACAAGCAAAGAGTTAACAGATGTGGCAGGCGACCTGGGAGGGGAAGGGAGACAGAGTCACTTCAGAGGCATCTCCACCCTGGTGCCAGCACCTGCACTTTTGTTTTTAAGTTGGCTGGCTTAATAGCATTTCATAAGGCTGCTTCAGCCGAGGCGGGCGCCGGTAGCTATTTCTACGGCGGGGATGAGAGGAAAGATCACTCTCGGGGGAGAGGGAGTGGTTGGTTCAAGTCCGAAGGGGAATTAAGAAGGGCCCTAGACGCAGCCCTGGGAGAACGAGGGGAAGGACAAGTGAGGGGGCGATGGGACGGGGTCGGGCCGCGTGACGCGACTACGGGAAGGTGGCAGGGGCTGGACGGGATACGGAGGCGGCGCAGGGACACACCAAAGGCAGACGTCAAGGCCTCTCTGTTTCCCTTCCCGGGTTACGGCTCTGCGCCCCCCACCCCGTCGCGGCTCAGAGCGCCGGGCCGCCCCTCACCTCGATGATCTTCTCCTTTTTTTTCTGGTCCGACTTCTTGCTAGGCCCCGCCACAGGCGGCGGTTTCTTGGGGGGCATCTCGGGGGCCGAGCCCCAGGCCGCGCTCGCTCGGCTCCTCTCAGCGCCGCGGCCGGAAAGCGCGCGAGACCCTGGACAGGCCGCAGCTCGCAGCCAAGCAATGAGAAAAGCAAAGGAAGGATTCGATTTACGACAGGCCGTCAACGACCGCTGCCCCGAGGCGCCCTAGGCACGCAACGCGCGATTGCGCGCGCAAGCCGGGAGGGTGGAAAGGGAAACGCGTGCGAAGCTATTTCCCACAATCCCCCACGAGCTTTAAAAAAAATATATATATCTCGGCGATGCCGGTATGACGTGACTGGGGGGAGGCGGGACTGCCCGCTCTCTAGCGCCTTAGGGAAGGTCTGTGGCAGTTGGCGGGGGGTTCCCGTGCCCCACTCTTCCCAGCTAGTGCCGCGGCGGCGCCGGGCAGGGAGCCGCTCGGGGACTCGCCCCTCCCGGCCGGGTCGGGTGCGGCGTGACGGGGACGTGCCTGCCCCGCCTTGGCTGGCTTGTGTCCCTCCTGCCCACGTGGGGGCTTGTCTGCCCGGGACCGGCGTGTGGCGAGAGCGCGGGTGTGTAGCTGCGGCCCGGGAGAGGCCGAAAGCGCCCACCTGAGAGATGGCGCCGGGGGCAGTTTCTTCCTTCTGGAAATCAGACCCTGCCCCAGTAGCGCCACCCTACGGGGGCGGTTCTCGACACATCTGTGGACCGGCTGCCGGGAGGGTTGTGCCGCCGCTGGCAGCGGTGTCCCACAGGAGCGCTCCCTTACCATCCTCTAGCACGTTCCTGTGGGGTAGGAGCTTTCAGCGTTACAGCGGCCCGCACGGGCCTGGTAACACGGCGGCGGGGCAGAGCCGCTAGCGCTGTCCCGGCGTGTGACAACACCCGTCACTTCAGGCGTTTTCCGCACTCAGCTGTCTCCCTGATGCTGCCTTCCTGCGCTAGTCGCTAAAAGTCATTTGCAGCAAATTCCGCTAGCAGGTGATGCGCCTACTGCTCCTCCCAAAAGCCAAGCCAGCTGGTGCAACTGCTTTTGGGAGAAGGGCATATTAAGAAGAGTGGTAGGCTGAGGATCCCACTCGTATTGGGGGGGAGGGGGTTGGATGTACAGAAAATGGGATGGAGACGAGTTGGAAATGAGGGAGGGAGACGAGGCAGGTGAGAGTGGGTCAGAGAAGTTTTGAACAACCCATGGGACAAACTCAGCCCACAGTCATGTGAAGAAGTGGGCTGTGCCCATGAAAGCTCATGATACCATCTACATGGTTTGTTAGTCTATAAAGTGCTACCAGACCATTTGTTGTTTTTTAAGGTAAGCCCACCCAGCTGTTTAAAGCAGCATTTCTCTAGCTGGGAACTGAACCCAGGCCATGATGACGCCAAATCCAGCCCACTGGGGACAGGTTGGAGAGAGACAAGGCAGCAGTGATACATGGATTGGATTGGCTGAGGGGATGAAGGGTGGTATAGTGTTTTAAACGTGAGCAGGGTGCTTAAATTTGATGTAGAGAGGGGAATGGGAGCACAGCCAGGGATTTGGAGAGGGGCTGTACCTGATTAGGGTAAAGCAGATGATTTTTCTTTTCTTGCAATATTTTGGACTGTTTCAAGGGGCCTGAGAGAAATTGTGGGAAGCCAGAGAGAAAAATGCATCACTCAGGGTGAGAATTAGTTAACATCTGGGCAAAAGGTTTTGTAGTGGAGATAGCTTCAGTGGAGTTACATGTGTTGAATATGGCATTTAGTTGCATTTACAACTTGATTCTGTGCCCATGATTGAATGTTGTACAGGCAGTCCCCGGGTTACATGGATCCAACTTACATCGGATCCCTACTTACAAACGGGGTGAGGCAACCCTGCACTAGCTGCTTCCCCCCAGCAGACTAGGGAGACGCGGAGCGGCTTTTCTCAGCAGACACCTCAGCTTGAGAATAAAGGACTGAGGGAAGTGAGGTGTGGGAGAATAAAACTAAGCTCTGGAGAAATTTTGGCTAGAGTTTCTCCTACAATATGTACCAAATTCAACTAAGAACAAACCTACAGTCCCTATCTGGTACGTAACCCGGGGACTGCCTGTATTTATAACTGTTTTCTACCCTTTTAATAACTACTTCTGGTTATTTACCATGAAAGGGAAAACCAGTTAAAAGAGAAACTACCCTGGGGCCAAAGGGGAAGAGAATTTCAAATGCAGTTAGACACCTAACTCCAATATTGCTATGATGTGATAATTATCTCAATTGTCACATAATTGGTGATTAAGGTACTACCTCTTGAAGTTCTTTTCTAGCTCTAATACAGACTTTTTCTGTAACCTTAACCAATCACTTAATTTTATTGTATTTTAATTCCTTCATATACATATGTGAGTCTTTTAATTATTAGTTATACTTTTTGGTTATATCAGGAATTAGAGTTACTGACATAACAGACTAATTAAAGAGGCTATGCTTCCATTCTTGGTGTGCTGCTGGGCCTGACTAAAAGCAAAATGTAGTAACAACTGGAAGCCTGCTTTCAGAAGATTTCCAGCATATACAGATTTGCAAATGCAGGATGTTCTGATAAAGACCCACGTTATTCAGGGTCATTACCTAAACTAAACGAGTTTCAAAAGATTTGAAATTTAGCCTTATTACTTGCTTCCAGCCTCATTTAATTACATTTGTCATCTGCATAATTGTAAGGGTTACCAATTTAACACTTTCACTGCAGAGAACAATGCTGATTTTATATAATGGAAATCACTTCTTTAAATTACTAAAAGTAAATTGTGCTGTGAATCAAATCTACTAGGTAACATTCAGTGTGACATTTACCTCTGAGAAATCAAAATACAACACTTTTCTGTTAAGATTTCAACATGAACAAAAAAAGCAGCAGCAAGGTAGTTCGTATGCAAATGTGATAATTGCTTGGATACAAAAGTTGAGTTTTGCTATGTAATTTTCTATATTATCATGATTCATGAGAAGTTAGGGCTGGGATTTTTTGGCAAATTAAATCCCCCCCCCCTCCAAAAAATGCCGATTTATATTTTAAGTTGGAGAATGCATGGGAAATGTCAATTTATGTTGAGAGTAAAGGTGTGTCTAGACAGCACCCTTCTGTCAGAATAAGCTATGCAAATTGCATACCTTATTCCGAGTCTAAATCTAAAGAGCTTGTTTTGAAATTTGGTGCTGTCTACACAACACCAAATTTCAAAATAAGGCTATCTCTAGAGGGAGAGGCAAGTGCTAGTGGTATTGCTAGAAAAGGGAATGGGAATCCTCGGTATCCATCCAGCAGTGGCTGGAAAGCATATATGGTAATAGAGGCTTTACAGTGTACACCAAGACTGACAATTATTTTTCAGCTTCTAGTTTCCAGGAAACCAATCTTAAAAGCTCAAATACATAATTTCCTTTATTCTCCCTACAGATCATAGTTGGCCAGAGCCAGCATCTGTTTTCTTGCTACAAGGTCCATAAATAAAGTCTCCTCAGACAGTCTAATTATCTGCCTAAAATCATGCAGGGAAGAAGGACTACTCCTGCTTCACTTTGAAAGGACAAATATCAATGATTTTCTGCCTCCCTATAGTATTCTCTCCTCTTCACCAAAGCTACATTTATTTAGTTTAATATGTACTTTAGTGGGAACATCTAGATAAGCATGCCCAAGGACAGACTTCTTTTTCTTACGATCCTTGGTTTTTCTGTGAAAGATCCTGAAAGGAGAGACATTCCTATACACAGGATAACAGATTGCTGCCACTATGATTAATTCATACCATGGAACAAAGGCACCTAGTAATATACTAGTGCAGCCCCCTGCCATGCGGCTTCAGCCATGGCAGCAGTGGTTCCCACTGCTGGGGCAGCTCTGGCCCCTGAAACAGCGTCCCCACCAAGCGACCCACACCACTGGAGTGGCCCCTGTTGCCAGAGCAGCATCCCCACCATGTGGCCTGGCCACTAGAGCAGCACCTCCCCCAACACGGCCTGCCCACTGGAGTATCACCCCGGCTGCCAGAATAGCGGCCCTCCATGAACTCCTGCCTATAGAGCAGCTGGGGTTGGGGCTATGAGGCAGCTTCTGGGGCTGGAACCGTGGTACTAAAAATAGCATTGCAGCCCCGTCCCAGAACACAGGGCATGGCCAGGACTGGAGTCAGGGCTGCAGTGCTATTTTTAGTACTGTGGCAGCAGCCACCACACTGGCCACAGGTCCAGCCCTGTGGAAGGGATGAAGCTAGGAGTCTGGGCCATTTGGTGGCTGCCCAGCTGCTCCTGGGGTGGGACAACCACCCACTACATGGCCCTACCTTGGAGCAGCTGAGCAGCCACCATGTGGCTCTGCTAAGGAGCTGGGCGGGACTCATATTGGGCAACAAAGTGATTGGTCAATAAAATGGCAAATGAAATTTAATGTTGATAAATGTAAAGTAATGCACCTTGGAAAAAATAATCCCAAGTATACATACAATATGATGAGGACTAAATTAACTAGAACTACTCAAGAAAGAGATCTTGGAGTCATTGTGGATAGTTCTCTAAAAGCATCCACTCAGAGTGCAGCTGCTGTCAAAAAAGCAAATAGAATGTTGAGTCATTAAAAAAAGGGATAGAGAATAAGAGAATCTTATTCTCTATATCTAAAACAATGGTATGCCCACACCTTGAATACTGCATAAAGATGCGGCTGCCTCATCTCCAAAAATATATATATTAGCATTGGAAGGTTCAGAAAAGGGCAACAAAAATGATTAGGGGTTTGGAACAGGCCCCATATAACGAGAGATTAAAAAGACTTGGACTTTTCATTTTAGTAAAAAGGAGACTAAGGGGGGATATGATAGAGCTCTATAAAATCATGACTGGTGTGGAAAAAATGAATAAGGAAAAGTTATTTACTTGTTCCTACAATATAAGAACTAAGGGGGTCGCCAAATGAAATTAAGCAGTAGCAGGTTTAAAATAAAAAAAAGGAAGTTTTTCTTCGTGAAGTACACAGTCAACTTGTGGAACTCCTTGCCAGAGGATCAGGTGAAAACTAGGATTTAACAGGGTTCAAAAAAGATCTAGATAAATTCATGGAGGTTAGGTCCATCAATGGCTATTAGCCAGGATGGGTAAGAACGGTGTCCCTAGCCTCTGTTTGTCAGAGGCTGGAAATGGATGACAGGACAGGGATCATATGATGATTACCT